TACATCCAGTATCGCCGATTGCAATGGTTTGGCCATGTCCTGCGCAAGCCATCAACGGAACTCTGCAGATTGGTCGCGAACCCCTCTGGAAGTGCAACCTGGAGATACCGACATGGCAGTCAACTGAAGACATGGCTCAGCACTGTCAAGTCAGAGGTCGAATGGATGGGTCTCGTAACCGTTTACGGCTTGGGACACTGGAAAAAACAATGGGTTAATATTTGCGAGGAGCTCGCTTCCGACCGCGGCCAATGGGCCGCCGCTATCCGTGGCATCCGTAAAGCCGATTCATCCAATATCAGAAGCTAATCGGATAAAGAGAGACTGCGGTAAGTCCCTAGGTATAATAAGATGAGGTTTCGAAACAAATAGTCGTTTCTTCAAAGTAACACTTATCATTGCCAGGTATACTGGACAAAATTTAGCACTTGAGTTCGACCCTGTACCTTATATGCCATGTCGGCTGCGTTGGGAGTGAAGGGCAAATAATGGCGAGTGGAAGAGGATGGACCTCAGCCAGGGTAGTTGAGAAACATACCAAGTTTCAGAGCAGTAGTCTAATCTTGACCGCGGCTTCTTAACTCCGGCGGTTAGAGCATTGGCTGTGTTCAAGCCGGACCCCCCAGGGTCATGGGTTCACACCCCACCGAGTTTCCTCAGACCACAACGCGCATTAACCCAAAGAAAGTCCGTATGGGTGAGTGTTCTAGTTTGCGCTTCAGTACTGATTGAATAATAGGTTGCATGCCTTAGCTTTTACTGCCAGTTGAATAATTTATCGACAGGGAAGGTTGTAGATATATGCTTGGCATTGACCGCAAAAGTCCTTCTCGTTTTGGGAACCACTTCATGTTGCACTGGCGAGATGATGCCTTGAGAATGTCATTTAAAAGGCAGGAGTTTCCTTGGTAGCAACGAATGTTCTTATTTATATTTACATGCCTACTAAATTAATTTCCGTTAGGGTTAGGGTAAGGGTGGGATAATGATATCGTATGTAAAAAGACCCCAAGTTTCTGTCTTACAGGAAGCGTGGGTGTAGGCATGTAAATATAAATAAGAACATTCGTTGCTGCCAAGGAAACTCCTGCCATTTAAAATGTACGCTTTCGATTATTCATAACCAGGCCTGTACAATAGTGTAAGGGAGAAGAAGGGA